CTCTTAAAGTCATATAATGCTCAGAATAAGAAATATACTCACATAGACTGGCCGGTGTGGCTCAGTGGTTGAGCATCAACCTATGAACCAGGAGGTCACAGTTTGATTCCCGGTTAGGGAACATCCCCAGGTTTTGGGCTTGATCACCATTAAGGGGGCATGCAGGAGGCAGCCCTTCAATGATTCTTGTCATTGATGTTTCTCTCAAGTCATATAATGCTCAGAATAAGAAATATACTCACATAGACTGGCCGGTGTGGCTCAGTGGTTGAGCATCAACCTATGAACCAGGAGGTCACAGTTTGATTCCCGGTTAGGGAACATCCCCAGGTTTTGGGCTTGATCACCATTAAGGGGGCATGCAGGAGGCAGCCCTTCAATGATTCTTGTCATTGATGTTTCTCTCTCCCTCTCCCTACCTCTCTGAAATAAATAAAAATGTTTTTTCAAAAAAGAAATATACTCACATAAAAATTGCTAATCTGCAGAATACTCAGAACTTCAGATGTGTAACTGTTGAACACTGATAATTCCACTATTTCATCTACCAAATATGTAATGAATGCCTATCATATGTAATATAGTATCCTGGATGTTATAGGAGAATACAGAGTTCTTCCCTATGAGATCTTACAGGTCAGGGAGGGAGCAGTAAGTTAAATATACAAACTAGTGAGTACAAAGCTATGTAAGAGCAGTGACAGTTATGCTACAGATGAAAGGCTCCAGTGGAGGCTATTAGTTCCAAGCAGCCCAGCTTCTCACTTTAGTGTGACAAGGTGTTTTCATATCAGGCAGCCAAGCCAGAGCCCAGGCAGCACCCGAGGGAGACCCATTCCTGAACCTGATTATCCAGCTGTTCTACCTCTACATAATCAACATGTGTTTCTAGTCAGTTTGTCTGATGTGTCCTCTCAGATTTAGCAAGGGGATCCTTCATAAGGACATTCTTTGTAGGACACAGGAGAAGTTCCAGGAGGCACATTTACAAGTTATGGGAACACAGTTAAACATGAAATGTTAATCACAATACCTGGGGTTTTCGTAAAAATCTAATCATATAGGATAATGCAGGGAAAGCATTCAAGCAGTGTTCTCTAAATCCAGAAATTAGAGGTGACTGTGAACAGGACAGTTGGAGGGACAAGACAGAAAAGAAGAGCCCCGGCTGGTTGGCTCAGTGGATAGAATATCAGCCCAAGGACTGAAGGGTCCTGGCTTCAATTCCGGTTAAGGGTATGTACCTCCATTGCAGGCTGGATCCCAGCCCTGGTCAGGGAGCATGCAAGAGGCAACCAGTCGATGTGTCTCTCTCACATCGATGTTTCTCTCTCAAAACAAAAGACGGGAAAGAAAAAAATAATAGCCATTCACAAGCAACATCCAACACATAAAAAACTATAAATATGATAAGTTTAGGAAAGTTCATCCGGAGCCAGCCCTTCTGTCTGGGATGATCAGAGGCAAGGGTAAAAGCATTGGATTGGAGAGAAGAAGGAAGGCGGGTGGGGGCAGGAAACTGTCAGAAGACTTGGATTCAGGTATAAACCCTGGCACTGCCTAACAGGTAGTCTTGTGTAAATCACTTACCCTCATATGGTTTCATTTTCTTCATCTATACAGTGGCTCTTTGGACATGTTGGTCTCTTATATTTCCAAAGGTAAATGAAAAGTTGGTAGGATTAATGAAGATACATTTAAAGGAATATGTTTCTATTTCTTTAAAATATAAATACTGATGAATAAGTATAAGTTTCCAAGTAGAAGTTTTTAAAACCCATTTTATTCATGTGTAATATTATATGACATGTAAATTATTTTGACTGCTTTGCAGCCTGTGTGGTCTCAGTTAGGTTAATCATTGTTCCTTATATTTTGTTCCAACATATATTTTCCCTAGGATACTTTTTCATTTTAGATAGTATAGCAATTAGCTTCTACATCTAAATCTTCCTATATTTTTACTTGAAAGATTTGGAATTAATGAAATATTACTATTCATACAAGTGATTGTGAAATTAATTGAATCATTGAAGCTATAAGGTGTATGAGACTTCAGGGAGAAAGTTCAGGCTTGAATTAGAAAGAGCACCTAAGACAGTGCTGAGCATATACTCAACCTTGAGTGAGCATATAATGAATAGGGAAGACAAAAAGTTACAAAATATTAGGTTAAACCATATGAAATTCCGTTTTTAACATCAAAATAGCTAAACATTTGTGACTTTTTGATTCAGCCTATTAAACAAAATGACCAAAAAGGGCATCTATAGTCTAATGCCAACAGATGTGAGTATTTATTAATTTAAGTACATGTATATTGACTATACTCTAGAATTTAATAAATGAGAAGTTCTGACAGTTGAATTGACTTTTAATTTTGTATGAAATTGCAATTTAAATGTAGGCAGGTGGCATAATTATTTCAGAAGCTAAAAATATTCTAAAAGATCTAGAGAACTTCTCAGTTATTCACACTTCACGAGTGTGAAGGTATTGAGGAAATACTTATTTGATAACCAAGCTTTAGTGGTGTGGTATAGACTGAAGTTAACTAGGGTATTTTGCTTTCAGACTCTCCTTATGCTGACCAGGATATTACTCCCAAGTCCTTTATTCTCTCCCAGTTCTTAGTCCCAATGCTGACATTCTCCAAGTTTATCTTAGAAAAATCAGGTGGAAAACAAAGGGAACTAATCATTATAAAAATGAACTGTCAGGTGCTTTGCTAGAGAGTTTATATATTACTAGAGGTCTGCTGCATGAAATTCATGCACTGAAGGGGGCGGGGGGGGGGGTTCCCTCAGCCCAGCCTACACCCTCTGGCAATCCAGAACCCCTTGGGGGATGTCCAACTGCCGGTTTAGGCCCGATCCTCCTGTGGGATCGGGCCTAAACCGGCAGTCGGACTTCCCTCTCGCAATCCAGAACCACTGGCTCCTAACCACTCACCTGCCTGCCTGATCACCCCAACCCCTCTGCCTGTCTGCCTGATTGCCCCTGAACCACCTGTCTGCCTGCCTGATAACCACTCTGCCTGCCTGCCTACCCCTGCTTGCCTGCCTGCCTGATGCCCGATTGCCCCTAACGCCTACCTGCCTAATTGCCCCTAACCGCTCTGCCTGCCTGCCCGATTGCCCCTAACCACTCGCCTGCCTGCCTGCCTGATCGCCCCTAACCACCTCTGCCTGCCTGCCTAATCACTCCTAACTGCTTGCCTGCCTGCCTGATCACTCCTAACCACTTCTGCCTCAGCCCCCGACACCACAGCTTCGTCCAGAGGACGTCCAGAAGGTCGTTCAGCTTTCCAGTTTAATCAGCATATTATGCTTTTATTATTATAGATTGCATTTAATTTTCACAACCCTATGGGACAAATATTATTTTTATTTTATAGGTGAAGAAACTGAGACCTAGAAAGGTTAAATGACTTGTCCAAGGTCACACAGTTTGTTAATGGTAGAGAGCTAGTCTTATTTTCACTATATACCATGCTCCTCATCTTATTGTTTGTTTGCTTATTTATATTTTATGCATCTTAAAAGTATCTTATTTACTCATAATAAATTCACACATGAGTAAAACAAGGAGATTGCCACTTTTTCCTTTTAAAAATTTAATATGGTAAAACACATTTGAATCTTTTCTTTTAAGGATGAACGTGAAGCGAGAGAAAATGTGAAGAGAGAACAAGATGAGGCCTATCGCCTTTCACTTGAGGCTGACAGAGCAAAAGTAGGTTTGGTCAAGGGACTTCTGGGATAAAGAACTCAAACGAGAATGTTTTTTCATTACTTAAGTGCCAGCCCTTTTATCACTTTGATCCCCAAAAATGTTGGGTTTGCAATGGAGAAAGCTAGATTCAATTAACAGAAAAACATAATTTTGCTCCTGGGTCTTTAAAGTATGGTATGGTTCATTTTGACAAGATGAAGTTTGTTGAGAATCATAAAAATGAAAACAAAATGGGCATATTATCTGTTTTATTTTATTTTTAGTGAGTCTAGGTACAACCTAACAATTTTTAAAACACTTTTAGGTGATTCTAATGTGCAGTCAGGGTCGAGAACCACTGATTTATTTAATGCTTTTTGAGCACCTGCTTCTGTACTGGGCATCGAAAGAGTGCAAAATAAATGAGCCACAGTTTCTGCCCTCAAAAATGTGGTAAAGAGTAGATGGTAAAGTGGTAAAGTCAAGAGCACAGATAGCTGTAACACTTAGGCAAGGATTCTAAATGTCATAAGTGAAGCACTAAGTTCTGTGAGAATTCAGTGAACAGGAGTTCAGTAGAAAGTTTTTGGTGTTTGCTTGTTTGTTTGTTTAGCTTTTCTGAAAAGCCAAGAAGTAAGAATGGACTGGGGAGGGATCCATAGAAGAGACTGTATATGTGAACTGGATGAAGAGGGGTGGAAGAGAAAAAGTAATATTTGCTAACAGCAAGGGGCTGACATGATTAAAGCTTGATATTTGGGTAAAGGAAACATAGCCAAAAAGACTAGAAAGGAAGATGAGACAACGGTTCTAATGAATGCAACACTACTCAGAGCTACCTAGGTATTTGAATAGGAACCCAACATGAACAGAGAGCTATGCTTTGTTGTTGCTTTCATTTTTATTCTTATTCCAGAGAAAATACTTTATTACCACAGTGCACCTCTGGGTCATGCTGGGACTTATGTCTCTCTCTCTCTCTCCCTCTCTCTTTCTCTTTTTTTTTCTCCTCCTCTTTCTTCTTCTTCTTCTTCTTCCTTCTTTCTACTTTCTTCTTTCTTCTTCTTCTCCTTCTTCTCCTTCTCCTTCTCCTTCTCCTTCTCCTTCTCCTTCTCCTTCTCCTTCTCCTTCTTCTTTTCTTTCTTTGTTTCTGTCTTTCTTTCTTTTTCTTAAGTGTTTATTGAATGCTGGCTCCCTTTCTCTTTTATCAACAGAGGGAAGCTCATGAGAGAGAGATGGCAGAACAGTCTCGTTTGGAGCAGATTCGAAAAGAACAAGAAGAGGAACGTGAGGTATGGCACAACTTAAAAATGTAATTCAAAGGCTGGGTTTGTGTCCTCTGCATTTGATACTGAGGCTGTTAATAGTACATGGAACTTCTTTCCACATTTCCCAGACTCATTTTAGTATGGAAGATCTTATCCTTTCCTAATCTGTTGTATAGAACTCTTAGAAAACTTGATCTTAGACTAGATTCATAGGTTTCTATTCCTTTCCCTTCTTCTTGCCTGACAAATACTCCCATTCTTCCTGTATATTGTCTCACCCCAAAAATACAAAGATTCTATTGTCAACCTTTTTTTAGCTTTTTTTAAAAAATCTTTATTGTTGAGAGTATTACAGATGTTCCCTTTTTATTCCCCCTTTGCTCCCCTCCACTCTGTTCCCACCCTGCCCCAGACCTTCATCGCTCTATTGTTGTCTGTGTCCATAGATAATGCATATACGCATGTAAGATCTTTTGGTTAATCCCTTCTGCCCCCCACCCACTCCCACCCCTTCCCTCTGAGATATATACCACTCCCCCACCCCCTTCCCTTTGAGATATTTTATTCATCAGTTTACTTCGTTCATTAGATTTCTTGTTCGTTTATTTTCATTTTTAGATTCACTTGTTGATAGATATGTATTTATTGCCATTTTATTGTTCATATTTTCTCCTCCTCCTCCTCCTCCTTCACCTCTTCCATCTTCATCTTCTTAAAGAATACCCTTCAACATTTCATCTAATACTGGTTTGGTATTATTTGAACTCCTTTAGCTTTTTCTTGTCTGTGAAGCTCTTTATCTGACCTTCAATTCTAAATTATAGCTTTGCTGGGTAGAGTAATCTGTAGATTCTTGCTATTCATCACTTTGAGTATTTCTTGCTACTGCCTTCTGGCCTGCAAAGTTTCTGTTGAGAAATCAGCTGACAGTTGTATGGGTGCTCCCTTGTAGGTAACTAACTGCTTTTCTCTTGCTGATTTTAAGATTCTCTCCTTGTCTTTAACCTTTAGTATTTTAATTATGTGTCTTGATGTGGGCCTTTTTAGGTGGGTCTTGTTTGGGACTCTCTGCGCTTCCATTTGTAAGTCAGTTTCTTTCACTAGGTAGGGGAAATTTTCTGTCATTATTTCTTCAAATAATTTTTCAATATCTTGCTCTCTCTATTCTCCTTTGGCATCTCCATAATGTGAATGTCGGTACACTTGAAATTGTCCCAAAGGCTCCTTACATTATCTTCATATTTTTAGATTCTTTTTTCTTTTTGCTCTTCTGATTGGATGTTTTTTGCTTCCTCATCTACCAAATTGTTGATTTGATTCTCGGAATCCTCTACTCTGCTGTTGAATCCCTGTAAATTATTCTTTATTTCAGTTAGTGTATGCTTATTTTCTGACTGGTCCTTTTTCCTGTTTTTTTACATTCTCACTAAGATCCTGGGAAGTCTTACTAAGTCCCTTGACATTCTCATTAAGATCTTTGAGTAACCTTATAACCGTTGGTTTAAACTCTATCTAGTAGTTTGCTTGCTTCCATTTCTTTTAATTGTAACATGTTTCTTTGCACATTTTAGCTGTTTCCAGTGTTTATTTCTACATATTAGGTAGAACTGTTATATTTCCTGGAATTGGTAGAGTGGCCTTGTGTAGCCTCCCCAGTCACCTGAGCTGAGCACTCTAGATACGCCCCTATGTGGCTGTGTCACAGTCTTTTTGTAGTTGAGCTTTGATTGGCATCACTGGGAGGAATTGGTCTCCAGGCCAGTTGGCTGTGAGGACCAGCTGTGTCTACAATGGAAGAGTTGCTGTGCAGGAGACAGCCCTATGGAGCAGGACTTACTGAGTCTGCTTCTTGAGTGTGTCACTTGTGGATACATAAAGTTGTAATCTAGTATGGTCTGAAGCTGTCCACCAGGTGCATTGGCTCTGGGACCTCCCAGGAGGTGCAAAGTCAGGCATTGCTTGGAGCCACTCCGCAGGAGCTACAGAGAGATCTGCAGACGGCTGCTACTTGGATTGGGCTAGGAAGTGCCCGGGCAAGGCCCAGCTGTGAAGCAAGGCAAGTTGATGCTGGTGCCAGGTCTTGGACCTTTTATTGATAGGTTTGGGGCATGCTGAATCCCGCTGCTGCTTGTTTGAGAGAGTTTAGCAAAGTCGGAAGCCTGAGCCAGGACAGGCCATTCATATGGAAAAGCTTCTGCAAACAGTTTGAGTGGGGTTTCAGATTGGATGGGGTGGGGTATCAGGGAATTACCAGGGATGAGTGAATAGTGTAGGCTATGGTGATGGGAACTCAGGTATAGTTGCCAGTCAGCTCTGCAACAAGGGAGGTCCCAGCACAGGAACAATGACCCTGTGAGCACCCCTGTCCAGGAGAAAGCTGCCCCCTAGTTCCTGCCTGGATGCCAGACAGTTCAATTCTTCCCTGTATGTCTCTGGATTCAAAGCTGCCACCCAACACTGGAGCTCAGAGGAAGTGAGACCCTGTAAGTTTATGCACAGATCCTTTAAGAGGAACACCTGGAATTCCAGCAGTCTCTGTGTCACTCAGCCACAATCCCAAAGCTTCTCTTCCCAGCTCTGGAACTCTGGGGTTGGGGTCTGATGTGTGGCAGGGACGCCCTGCTTCTCATGGGAGGCCTTGGAGAGATCCCTCCTGATTAAAAAATTCCAAACGTGTAGGTTGGAGTAGCTCATTCTATGTCTCCACCCCTTCTACCAATCTCAATGTGCTTTCTTCTTTACTTTTCTAGTTGTATTTACTTTCATTCAGCCAGATTTCAGGGGGTTCTGAATGATGGTTGTTCCGTATTTCAGTTGTAATTTTGGGGGAAGCAGAGAGTACAGTTTACCTACGCCACCATCATGGTTCTCTCTCTATTTTCAGCCTTTTCAGTAGGCTTCACTTTACCCACCAAAAGACAGTGAGTTACTTCTGCAACCTCTTGTACTGGGCCCCTAAATATGGGAAATCCATTTAGCTTGACTGATTTTTTTCATCCTTATGTCCATGTCTTCTCCATAACAATATATGCCGGGAGCCAGTCCATCCTTGTTGTTTCAAGGGACCTGGCATATATGGCATACTGTTTTTGATATATTTGCTCACCTTCTTGGCACTATGTGTTTTAGCCAGGGTCGCCTCTCCGAGAAAGGTTGTTTCCCCAGGTAGAGATTTTCCCCTGAGGTTAGGGAGGGGGTGAAACTCCTTAACTAAGTGCCAGGCGGGTAGTTAATCACTTTAACTACAA